CGCCGCCGCCTCTGCCGCGCGGGGCCGCCGGGAGCGGCCGCGGAGCCTTGTGGGGCCGCGCGCGGCGTCGCCATGGCCACGGCTGAGGCGGCTGCCGCGGCTCGGGCTCCGCTCCGTCTGTCGCCTGCCGCCGACTAAAGCCTGCGGACATTTTGTCTGAAAAAGGCAGAGCGTACATCCCACCCCGGTTCGGGGGTGCTAGAATGCAGGAGGCGCCCGCTGGAGACCCGGAGAGCGGCCGCAGAGGGGAGGTCCCGGCGCCTGAGGCGCCGTTGGGCGGCAGCGGGAGCGGCGGTGCCCGCGCGGAGCGGGAGGGCAGCGCTGGCAGCGCAGGTGAGCCCCTCCGGCTCGCCAGCACCAAGGCCTGCACATCGCATCACGGCTGTTCATGCTCTTCTGGATGCAAATACGAGTGTGTGCTTTCTGCCAGCAAAGTCACGGAAATCCTGACATAACTGAGGTGTACTCAGTGGCTGTCTTCTTGTGGTCTTTTTTCCTTTCCCGACATTTCTTTACTGTTGCCGCAGAAGTATTTCTTGCAGTGTTGCTATCACACAGCCAACCTGACCTCTAAATCACAAGTGCCAGGCTGGGTCTGGGTTGCACTCAGAGGAAAATACACGTATTTTTCCTTAAATCGTTTGTATAAAAATCTTTCCAGCGGGTCCCTGGTCCGAGCTCCGTGCTCCAGCAGGGCCATCCCAGAGCACGGGCACAGGACAGTGTCCCGATGGCTCTGGAGCATCTCCAGTGGGGACACCCCACGCCCTGTCCGGGCAAACAGTTCAGTGCATGGTCGCCAGCACAGTGAAGTTCTTCACCGTGTTCGGGTGTTCCTGTGCATCAGTTTCAGCCCATTGCCTCTTGTGATACTAATTATGTCCAATTATTGTGTTTTAATTACAGTCATATTTAAGTAAGCTGGTACAATCATCTTGTTTGCACTTTAAATGTATGAATTACAAGTGCAAGTAGAAGGTTCAGGCACGTGTCTGAAGAGACAAATACTGAAATTGGAATTAATCAAAGGCAATGTAAAGACACCTTCCAAGGAGCACAAAAAGAAAAATTTGTAAAAGAGCTAGACTAATGTTGCTTGGGATGACTGATACTCCATTGCTGAAATCTCTTTACAGTAAATTCAAATTGGTGTTAATTAAATGTAATATATATTAGATGTCTAACACCATCAGATCATTGGTGTCAGTACTTTATTGTGACTGTACATTATAAGAATATTAAGAATAATGGGTACTATCTGACTTCCAGATATTTAAAAAAATCAAATATGCAGATTTCAATTGCTACTATTTATTTTATGATGCTGTTAAAAAAAGTTAAGTTTCATTAAAAATCTCAGCAGAAATCTTGGTTAAAACACTCTTCTTGAAATTCGTGTTCAAGCGCTCTTCAATATTTCTTTGAAGTAATTGGCAACATGACACATTTTCCCCACCCTTGCTGTTAAATTGCAATTAATTTTCTTATTTAAAAAGCTGATAAAACTCAAGAGAAAGAAGTCAGCTGTATATCCAGAGCAGATCAAGAGAACGAACAAAAATCAGGTGTTGATCAGAAGTCTGGAACCAGCTCATCCAGCCAAATGACAGAAGAAAAGAGAGGCTCTGTAAGGTAATACATTGTGGGTGTGTTGGCATCATCAGGAGTTTTGTTATTCTCTGTGTTCATCTCAGTTCTGGAGAACAGTTTTGAAAATGAACTTGAGAATAATGGATAAATCAGATATTAGTGATATTTCCAGCATCTGGAGAGATGTTTGGGGTTTATGGCCACTGTAGCAAACTGCATTTTAACCACATGATGAAGAAAAGAGAGGCTCTGTAAGGTAATACATTGTGGGTGTGTTGGCATCATCAGGAGTTTTGTTATTCTCTGTGTTCATCTCAGTTCTGGAGAACAGTTTTGAAGATGAACTTGAGGGTAATGGATAAATCAGGTATTAGTGATATTTCCAGCATCTGGAGAGATGTTTGGGGTTTATGGCCACTGTAGCAAACTACATTCTAACCACATGATGAAGTCATTTAATGGATCTGGAGAAAATTGTGCAAACTCCCATGGAAGTCACGTGCCAGTAGATTTAACCCTTTCTCTGCATCACTTCAGACAAAGCATTCTGTTCATTCCTAGTGGCACTCCCAGCCAACCAACAGCTGTGTAGCAAAACTTCCTTAAGTGCTATTTTGGAGTCAGCATTTCAATAAAATGTTGGGTTGATCACCATTGATTTTTCTCGTCTGAGAAAAATATTGCATTTTGGCTCTGCCACCAAAGGTCCTGTACCAAAGCAGCAAGGAACAGGGGAAGGAACTGGAGAGGAAACTAACATTGGAACCAGAAGCTAATGTAAAATCATGCTGCCCTTTTCCAAGAAGATGGACTCTCTAATTCCCTGCCCATTTTCCTATAAACCTGCTTTTGTTTTTTAGCAGAAGGGCCTGGTAACTCACTTCAAAGGTAGAAATGAAAAGCCACACTAAAAAAACCCAGCACTTTTTAACCTCTTGTTTTTTAGCAGAAGGGCCTGGTAACTCACTTCAAAGGTAGAAATTAAAAGCCACACTAAAAAAAACCCAGCACTTTTTTTTAAAATTTGGAATATAATTTTGAAAGCTGTAGCTATTTCTCTTGCATAAAAGAATTGTTGATTGTGTTGCAATGCAATCTGTAAGGAAACCAAAGATTTCAGAATATGCACTGAAATACATTTTTCTTTTTAACATTTGGAATATAATTTTGAAAGCTGTAGCTATTTCTCTTTCATGAAAGAATTGTTAATTGTGTTGCAGTGGAATCTCTAAGGAAACCAAAGATCTCAGAATATGCACTGAAATACATATTTTTCTTCTGCTTTCTGTACTATTTTAGAATGACAAAAAAGATTCTGCTAGACATCTGTAAACAGCAGAAATTATACTGGACCCCGTACTTAAATGATACACTGTACTTGCATTATAAAGGTAAGATGTGGACATGACTGCCTAGCTTGGGCATTCTAAGTAGCATTTTAGCAGAGAATCTACTTCATGGCTCACTGAAGTAAGGTATCTAGTCATTCTTCTAAATTAGAACACAATTTTGTGTAATACTGGATTTGGGAAACAAAATGAGTCAATAAGAAGGTATAAAAGTAAACTGTACATCTAACTCACTTTGTGGAGCCACCCAAAGGATCAATAGGAATCAAAGGACATATTTTTGGTTTCTTTTACTGAAACAGGAGCCTCTGAGAAATGTAAATTATCATACTGGCCTGGGTTGCACTCAGAGGAAAATATACGTATTTTTCCTTGAATTGTTTCTATAAAAATCTTTCCAGCTTTTGGAACTTATTTCCTGCCAAGTAAAAATGGTTAAGAGGAAAATAAACACTAAATTCTTGCTGCATGTTTGCAAACACTACTGAAAGAAACAAAATGTGTTAGAATGAACATTACTCATCCTCTGGTGATCTCTGAGCAGGTTTTTGCATGATGCAGTTACTTGGTTCAAGTTAGCCTAAGAACTCTTCCAAATAAAAAGGATATGCTACCTTCTGCATTCACCCTTGGTTTTGCTATGTATTATTTAGCATCTAAAGGGCTGCTGAGATACAGACCAGAATAGCTACCAACCTGGTTTTGCCCTGTATGGGCCACAAACAGTACCAGGAATTAATTCAGTGGAAATACTGCAGTGACTTCAGTAGCAGTGTTCTCTCAGGCTGTTTCAGGTTTCATGGAATTTTCTCATCCAAAGAGCCATTATCAGCCAATGCCATTTCATTTTAAACCATCTTTTTTTTTCTCTGCAGGATTTGATCGAGTGGAGAATCTTGAAGAGTATACAGGACTGAAGTGTTTGTGGCTGCAATGCAATGGCTTAAGAAAAATTGAGAACTTGGAGGCTCAGACAGAGTTGCGTTGCCTCTACCTGCAACTCAATTTAATTGAGAAAATTGAAAACCTTGAACCCTTACAAAAGCTGGATTCCCTCAATATCAGTAACAACTACATTAGAACCATTGAGAATCTCTGTAAGAACTGTTGTTGCAACAGGTTTTATCCTCTGGCAAGCCCATATTTCCTAAGCTCTGACTAAGCCTTTGTTAGTGGCACTAGTTTAAAAGAATTTTTTAATTTGTGTTAGAATTTTGCACAATATCCATACCAAAGCCCACAGGGCTTCTGTGGAGGAAGAAAACCTATGTTGAGAAACAGACAATACTACTACTACTACAGAAAAACTACTTTCACATGGATACCTAGGATAATTAAGTAGTTTTTCCTCACTTCTTAATATCATCTCAATACTTATCTGTGTTGCAGGCAGGCTGACAATCCAGTTTTCACCATTTACTTTACAGTTACGATGTGCTTTGGCAGTTGCAGACACAATTACCAAATCTTTTATACCTGCTAAAATATTGATTCTGTCTTTAGCAGAAAATAAAGAACTATTTCTGTACATTACAACTTGCATACATTTGAGAATTTTGAAACACAAGCTCTTGCTTTTGTTTAACTGATTAGTTTGAAATGTGAATTTTAAAAAACCTCCCATCCTAAAACCAAGCACCTATTTTTCCCTGGGGTGAAGAAAGCAGCTTTGGAGGCCTAGCCAAAAATTATATATAGCAGAATAAAAAATTTAGAAAAAAGCTCCAAATTCAATACAAACTATGAGTTTGACAATGCAGCTTTTTACTTGGTCATAAAACTCTTTGTGAAGTGACAGCTCTTACCTTTCCTTTCATTGTACTGTTCTTGTCTGGCAGCTTGTCTGAAAGTCCTGCAGACTCTGCAGATTGCTCACAATAAGTTACAGACAGTGGAAGA